CCTTCTCAACGTGGGAACTGAGTCACTGAAAACCAATGTCAGAGTGTATGTATGTATATATATGTGGGCTATACACTTCGACAGAATGTCTTCTCCAAACATATTACATAATGTTACATGTTTGCAAAGAGTCCCCTCGTTTTCCTTTGAATGACCCTTTATGTTTCTTACGTTCTTCTTCGCAGAGATTTCTTTTCCTGGACACCCCATTGCCAATTGATCCACTTGTTCCTCCACGTTCTTTCTGAAATTTTGCTTGTGTGCACTTTTGGGGGGGTAAAGTGGCAACAACAACAACAACAACAGCATCAACAAGGAATGTAGACCTCAACAGGTGGCTACTCACAAAGCATGCGCAGTGAAGGAGATGTCAAGATATGTCAAGTGCGTGTGTGTGTGTGTATGTATATATATATATGCAAAAGTGATCGCGTGTGTGTGTACATAGATACTGTTCTTTTCAATTCTGCGTTTCCTGGTTGTTCAACACACGGTTTTAACTGGCTCATGTGGATTCGCAGCATTTTTGGCTCTAAGATCTTTAAGTATGCCAAAAGGAGGTTCTAAGCCTAAGATTTCGTCTGTAAAAGACTCTCTCGGGATCAGCATGTGTGTCAGGGACCAGGCCTTGGAATCAAGATTTGAACCCACTTGTGGAGCACACCTCAGCTCTTTGAAACAGTGGTGCAAGGTGACTCGGCGACGCAACAAACACGCGGCTGATGAGGAGACTTCGCGGGCAAAAACCGAGGCCAGGGCCATTGTGGAAGTTGGCCTTTCCTCAAGGCATTTTGCTTTGCACCGTACGTACATTATCGCGTTCAAAAACGATTATGTCATCTTCCAAATTCATCTATACAATGAAATTCAGATTCAGCATTGCCATGTAGGAATGATGGGCCAACAAAAATGAATTGACATGAAAGAGGCACGATGGGCTGGAAGCAAACATGTTGTATATATAAATAATCATATACATTTCTTGATGCACAGCATGAATGCCAGAAGCTCCACCATGGTCTTGCTCGCAGGGACAGCCATTTCGCTCGAGGAAAATGAGCGCGAGCTAGCCCGTATGTTTCGGTAGGATCCGAACCCGTGGTTTCGATATTGGTAGCGGAGCCCCGAAGACCGGGGCTCCATAGGATAGGATTCCTTGGATAGATTAGCGTGAATGCCATGAGCTCGGCGAACGAATCCACCGGCCTGCGAACGTTCAGTGGTGATACTGAGGACGCCAAAGAGTATAAACGTTGGCGGACATGGGTTACAAACAAGATCCTCACCCTCGGCGACAAGGTTCCCGACAATGCCAAAGGTGCTTATGTTTACACTCTACTTGCTGGAAAAGCTTTGGAATGTGTTGAGCACCTGGAGCAATCTGCGTATCAGAAAGCTGGAGGTGAAAAGATCATTTTCGAATTGCTGGATCAAAGATTCCCTCAAAAAGACCAATCTGATGAAATGTCGGAGGCCTTGACCGAGGTGTTCCAGTTGCGTGCCCATGAAGGAGAATCACTGAAGGCGTGGGTTTCTCGTGCCACCGAGCTGTTCGATCGAGTAAAGAGGAAAGTCAATGTGGCTTTCCCAGAAGAGGCTCGTGGGTGGATCATCCTCCACCGAGCCGGACTGACGGAAGAACAAAAAGCTGTCATCCTCTCTCGATCGCTCGGAGTGCTCAAGCGCGAGGAGATCGGCAGAGCTATGCGTTCCTGTTATCCGGAGTTGATCATCGGCAAGAAACGTGCTTCAGCTGCTATCGCCATCGTTGATGAGGAAGATGAACCTCCTTCAACCTGGGATGAAGCGGATGCTACACTTGCTGATATGGAGCAATTTCTTGCAGAGCATCAACAGGACGTCCCAGTTGATCCTGATGAGATCTTTGATGAGCAAGAAGTGGCAGAAGCACTCGCCGTGTCTTGGCGAGAACGTCGAAAGGAAATGGTGAGCTTGAAGCGTGCCCGTAAATTCACCCATGCTGGTGATTCCAAGAGAAGCTTCAAGGTCGAGATCGAGGAGATGAAGCGTCGAACTCGCTGCAATCGCTGTGGACAGGTGGGTCATTGGGCCCGTGATTGCAAACAGCCAAAAGGAAGTGGCAAGTCTGTGAAGGGTCCGCCTACCTCCTCCTCTTCTGGCTATGTTTCAGGTAAAGGAGGCGAAAGTGGTGCTGCCTTTGTGGAAGATTTCGTGGCCATGGTCGAGTCTCAAAGTTCTTGGCTTTCGTTGCAACTGTTGCGTGAGCGTCGGGAGGTGCACAAGACAGTCAACACTGCACCTGTCTCCTCCCCTACGTTGAACATTGAGCAATTGTTGGTCAGCTCCCCCGGATATGGCGTGTTGGACAGTGGTTGTGGTCGTTCCATTGTGGGCGCCTTGACATTGAAAGAGTTCGAACCACTGTGGCAAGCCCGTGGCTGGACCATTCCAGTCCCCTTTGCCCAGACGAATCACCTCAAGTTCGGCAATGGCCAGAAGGAGACGACGCAGCTGTCAGTCCGAGTTCCAGTACAACTTGGGGGCCGCCCAGGTACAATCAAAGCTGCCATTGTTCAGGGTTCCGCTCCATTGCTGATCTCACGAAACGCCCTGAGGACTTTGAAGGCCGTGATTGATTTTTCTGCCAGTGAGCTGATCATCTTCGACGAGCGCGTCAAGGTCCCCTTGTTGACAAATCAAGCGGGACAGTTCACAGTCGATCTTTTGGGTGAGCAAGATGTTGCTCTGGAACCTTTTGCAGAGGTCATGACCCTCCAGACCTCTCTCAAGCCCGATGAACATGTTCCACTGCCGGATGAACCGGTTGATCAGAGTTCATCCCACTCCGTTGAGCCTGCCTCACACTCTCAAGATCTTGCGTCAGGCTCGGAAGGTTTGCATGTTTGGAAACGTGAAGATCATTTCCTTAGTCATGTTCCATCCCTAGGAAAGCAAGGCCCGCTGTGGAGCTCAATTCGTCGTAGAGTGGTCACTGACCTGGACACGAATACAATCTTGTTTGACGAATGCATCAACCCACAGGAAGGTAAGAGTAAATATAATCACCCACTACCCAAGCATGTCATGCACACACGTACTGAATTTTGGTTCACGCCTCAGGAACTCAGCCTGGCCGTTGAGACGCTACCTGTCCACCAGCTCCGTCAACTGGAGAGTCAGGTTCGATCGGCCAGCTGCTCTCAGATGTCAGATCTAGAAGGCAAACCGTTCCTGGTAGCAGAAGTGTTTTCTCCACCTCGATGTGCTCCAGTAGCAGAACAACTTGGGTTTGCCGCTCGTTCCTATGACCTGAAGACTGGGTATGATTTTCGACGGAAGTCAGATCGTGATCAAGTGTTTTTGGAACTGCAACAAACACCCCCAGAACTTTTGGTTCTTTGCCCACCATGTACTGATGAAGGAGGTTGGTTCAACCTCAACTCTCTGCACATGTCCACCGTCGAGCGTGCGCATAGGATAGCCCAAAGTCGCATGTACATCAAGTTCTGTGTTCAACTGTACGAACAACAAGTCAGCCTAGGTAAGAAAGCTCTTATCGAGCACCCTCACGGCTCCAGGCTGTGGAACTATCCTGAGATTCGCAAGCTTTCGCAAAGCGGACACCTTTTGAAGTGTCACATGTGCCGTTTCGGATTGCGCCTGCCCGGATCTGATAAATTGATCAGGAAGACCACCAGACTCTTAGTCAGTGATGAGACCATGTCATCACTAGCAAGGGAATGTCCAGGCCATCAGCATCCGAAACATCAGTGTCATCAAACCATTGCTGGCTCGGCTCCTGGGGTGGGATCAATTAGTACCTTCGCCGGAGTGTATACACCCCAGTTTGTCAATGCTGTGTTGGAAACGATTCCTGCCTTTAAACAGTGTGCAGCCGCCAGTGTAGTTGAATGCGACCTCTCGTCGGAACCCGCATGTCAAGAGGTCCTCGTGTCAAAGGCAGATCTCGATGATGCACATGCTTCGGATTCACAACTGCTTCAAGTGTTGGACAAGCTGCATCGCAATTTAGGACATCCTCCAGGTCACGACATGATCAGGATCCTCAAACATGCACAGGCCAGTGAACGTGCCATCGCCCTGGCACGAAAGCATGAATGTGATTTGTGCAAGAAACACATGCGACCCCATGCTGCTCTTCCAGCCAAGACCAGTCGTGTTTCAGAGTTTAACCACACGGTAGGCATTGATGTGAAATTCTTGCCTGGTTGGAAAACAAATCAGAAGGTCAAAGCCCTGAATATTGTTTGCCACGGCAGCTGTTACCAGTTGGTTTTGCCATTCCATGAAACTGAAACGTCCTCTGTCATTCGAAAGCTGTTTGCAGAGAACTGGGTTCGTGTGTTTGGTCCACCACGTGTGATTCTGATCGATCAAGCCCAAACAAACATGGGTGAGGCCCTTCAGAATTTCCTAGATCTCCAAGGCACTGAAGTCAAGCAGATCCCAGGGGAAGCCCACTGGCAACTTGGTCGTACCGAAAACCACGGAGGTTGGTTTGCTAGAATCTTGTCAAAGGTGATTAGTGAACATTGCCCTGAAAATGTACTCCAGTGGGAAGAATGTGTGATCCATGCTCATGTGAAGAACAGTATGATTCAATACTATGGTCACACACCTCACCAACATGTTTTTGGTCAGAATCCACGAGTACCGTCAGACCTGCTAGACGAGCCTCTGAGTGTCATACCGGCCACTGCCAGCCTTAGTGATGAGCAAATGGCCAAAGCACAGGCAATTCGTTCCTCGGCACGAAGAGCTGTGATCGAGATGCAGGACAGCAATTCCTTGCGTCGAGCACTGTTCGCCAGACCTCGTATAGACCTGCAGTTCGCTCCAGGTGATCTAGTAGCTTATTGGAGAAATCAAAAGTTTCAAGCGGGTCAAGGTGTGGTTACGGGGGGAAAGTGGTTTGGTATCGCCGTAGTCATTGGCAGTATTGGTAGGAACTACATTGTTGCTCATCGTCGTCAAGTCTTCCGAGTTGCACCAGAACAAATGCGTCCTGCCACCTCCGAAGAAAAAGCCACTGTACTGACTCCTCAAGCCGAACTGTTGGGAATCAAAGACCTTATTGAAGGGGGCACATTTCGGAGTCACAACTTCATTGATCTTGTTCCTGGACATTATCCTCCTAGTCAACCAAGTCCTGATCCTCCAGATGCTAACATGCCTGGTCAAGAGCCGAACAGTGCTGAGATTCCTCAGATTCTGCCAGAGAATCCGAGTCGCACGGATAGCCATGACAAGCCGACCACTCCAGAACCACCTGTTGCTGCAGAGATAAAGACTGATACTGTGCCTGATGAAGGAAACCATCCTTTAATCTCGGATGAAGATCGCCCTGATAAGTCTTGGCTTGAACCCTCATATGGTCTTGTTCGTACCAAGCATGGGTTGGATTGCAAAAGTCAGCCGTCACGTTTGTATCGTCCTCCTCAAATGAGTCAAGATGACTTTGTTGAAATCATGAGAGAATTAGTCCCTCAGCTGATCGAACAAACAGTTCACCCGTCATCATCGGAAGCCAGTAGTGCTAGTGGAGTCAAACGTTCTGCTGACTCGCCACCATCCCCTACGTCAGAGCCACCCGCACAAAAGCCCAGAATCGATGAACACTTGCTAGTGGAGTCCGGCACATGCCAAGAAGTGCTGTCTGTACAAGACTGCCACGAACTGTGTCATGTATGGCAAACTTCTCAAAACATTGAAGTGCTTGTCGCTGCATATCTCCAAAAGCGAGCTGCGAAAGAGATCCCAGCTTCCGGTAATGAACCAATACTACAAGAACTTGTGGATGAATCTAAATTGGTTGAGTGGAATACATTGTTGGAAAAACGAGCAATTCGTGTGCATACCGGGAAGCACGCTCAATGGTTGAAAGAAAATCGCGCAGATCGTTTCATGGGAAGCCGATTCGTGATTGTTCGTAAACCCCTTGAAGAGAACCTTCATTTGAATGTGAATGACCCTGCCACATACCGAGTCAAAAGCCGATGGTGCTTGCAAGGTCACCTCGACCCAGATTTAGAGCATGAGGGCCTCTTACAAAGTCCTACCCTCAGTCAAATTGGCAGAATGATTCTCATGCAACTGATCTCATCCTTCCAATGGGATTTGCAGCTAGGGGATATAAAGGGGGCATTCCTAGAGGCAGGACCCCTTCCTGAACGTTTTCGTCCGCTGTATGCCCGGTTGCCTGCTGGTGGCATACCGTCCGTTCCGGATGATGCTGTGTTGGAGATTACCGGAAATGTCTACGGACAGAACGACGCCCCGGCGGCGTGGCACAAGGCGTTCGATGCTGCTGCAATTGAATTTGGTTGGGAACGCTCACTGTTCGACGCCTGCTTGTATTTTCTTCGTGATACTTCAGGCAAGCTCTGTGGTGCCATGGGCGTTCATGTGGACGACACAGCCCTAGGAGGCCATGGTTCTTACTTTGATGAAACCGTAAAAAGGTTGAAAGAACGATTTCCGTACCGGAAATGGCGAATCCAATCTGGAGAGTTCTGTGGCGCCTTTTATACCCAAGATCCACAGTCCAAGAGCATTTCGATGTCTCAACAGACCTTTGCAGAGAACATTCGACCAGCTCACATAGCAAAAGGGGCCAACAATGAACAAGGTCTTCAGGATTCGCAAGTCAGAGTTCTTAGAGCCATAAACGGTAGCCTCAATTGGATAGCCTCTCAATCCCGTCCAGATCTAGCGGTTCAAACAAGTTTGAGTCAACAAGCCTTTCTGCATCCCCAGATCCGTCATCTGCGAGAGGTAAACAATGCAGTTCGTAGAGCCAAACAACATAAAGATGTGAAGATACAGTTTCGAGCGATTCCACCTGAGAACTTACGCCTGTGTTGCCACTCAGATGCAGCTTTTGCAAATGTTGGCTCTCATACTCAGGCAGGGTATGTTATTGCCTTTGTAGACCAAAAGCTGGATAAGGGAGAAGTCAGTCCTTGGACTCCAATGACCTGGAAAAGTTACAAACTTCCAAGAGCAGTCTCTTCAACCCTGGCTGGCGAGAGTCAAGCACTTTCTACTGCCACCGGAACGGTGGAATGGGCCTGTCTGATTTTGAGTGAAGCCCTCGATGGAAAGTTCGAGCCTCGTTTGTCCCGACAGCGATTAGGTCTAAGGCCGCCCATCCTAGCAACAGATTGTAAGTCATTGTACGATCACCTGACCTCTCCATCATCCCCGACAGCAGTGGATGATAGACGTACAAGCATTGACATCGTAATCATCAGGGAATCCACAAAGGCCACTCATGCATCCATTCGCTGGCTCCCAACGAATAGAATGCTAGCTGATGCACTCACCAAAGATAAGATGGATCCAGTAGACTTACTCCGTTCCTGCCTACGTAGTGCTACCTACCAGATTTCTCCTGAAGAACATGTGTTAGCACAACAGGCTAAAGAACGAGAGCTTCGATTGCTAAGACGGAATCAGTCCACCAAGGAAAAGAAGCCGCTTCGTGAGCAAGCTGATTCTATCGAGAATTTAGAATGCTGATCACTTGAGAAGTAATAGTAAAAGAAATGTTTTTGAGATTTTCTCTGAAGGGGTAACATTCTTTGGAACTATTCGAATCAAGTGTCTTAGATGCATGGTTTTGTGTTTCGTTTTGCCAGCTGCCGAGAGCCGACCGATTTTGTTTCAATCATGAGCATAGAAATTGATTCTTGGAACCGGCATCCTTTTGTGTTCAAGTGGTCATCGCTTCACTGACCTTCGGCCGATCGATATGTCCTGGACTCAGGAAGAAGCAACTCAGCTTCGCGCCTTGTTTCGCAAGGCCATGCAACATGGCATCGAGCCGGTGGAAGCCTTGGGAGGTTTTCCCCATGTGGATGATTTTGAGTTGGTGGGCACCATGTCGGATGCCGCAAAGCGCCAATCCGATGGTCAATATCCAGTTCATTCGAAAGCCAACCGCAAGCTGCCGATGCCCATGCCCTCAACCAGTGAAGATGTTGACAAGCAGGATGGTTGCTATGCCACGAGTGCAACAAATTTGCCGTATCCCTCCTCTTCCGAGGTGCCACTGCCAAATTCGAGTCTCCCTCCTTTTCCTCCAGGAGTGACCAATACAGAGCAGTGGGGCCGATCGATCATCAACTTCGGCAAATACAAAGGAAAGAACATCTCATACATCGAGCTCCTTTCCTCCACCAGTGAGGATATGCGTAGTTATGTGAAATGGTGTTCTTCCCGACAGAGCACTGCAGGTGGTGAATTGAAAGACCTCACCTCTTTCATGCGCCGCTACGAGATGGAAAATTCTCACAGTGCACTGATTCGTGGAGAGTTGATTCCAGGAACGACGGCCCGACGAAGTTTCAAGTGAGCTTTTGATGGCCCTATGCTCGGTGGAAGAATGCTGAAGTGGAAACCTCAAGTTTCTTGAAGATTTAAGTTTGGAGATTATAAGGAATCTTGATGCACAGCATGAATGCCAGAAGCTCCACCATGGTCTTGCTCGCAGGGACAGCCATTTCGCTCGAGGAAAATGAGCGCGAGCTAGCCCGTATGTTTCGGTAGGATCCGAACCCGTGGTTTCGATACATTTATACATATGTATATATACACAATACGGATCAATACGGTATCCGCAAGAAAGAGACGCGACGCTAGACACCTCCAAATGTGTGCTGAATTTATGTAGCTGTCGCATTCTGTTGCAACCACATTTGCCAAGCGGCGCATTGTGAAGAAGATGCTGTGATGATTTCAGGTTCAGTATATTTCAGCTAAGGCTCGGGTAAATGGGCTTTGGCTGATTCACATTCGGCTGTGAATGCTGATTCGCACTTGATTGACTTCGAGGCCCCTTTGCCTGTTTGAACTGCGGCCAGCTGGACCTGATTTCTATAAGCAAGACACAATGACAGCAAACAAAACACGTACGCTGAGGGTAAGGCGCTTCCGGAAGTGTTTGCCGTTCGTTGGTCATATCGGTGCCTTGTCAACAGTCGTTTGAAGGTCTTAACAATCTCAACTTGCTTTGGGTCAGAATGGACTGAGGACTGTGCTTGTTTTCGCACGCTTCACTTCAATCCGACGGCCCTCCTTGAGCTCCAGGAAACATGATCCCTCTGCGCCAAGGAGCTCGTCCACCTACAACGCGGATAAATGCAGAGTAAACCCGACCACTCCGTCATACTGCCTGTCGTATGCAAATCTGAGCAGTATTGAGCCATGCACGGTGTTCGGGTCCTGGAACACGACAAAGCCAAAGCCGCGATGGTTTGACACTTGGTTGTGCCCGTTTGCCTCGGTGGGAGGCCGATTCAAGCAGGCGAACAATGGCGAACAATCACATTGATATACCTCGGTGTCACCAGATTCAGCTCTGTGCAGATGCGCCACCGTCAGAGCGTTGGCGTTGCAGCCATGCCTTCAAGCCAACACGCAATGCTACAGTAGCCTGCAGCCATGGTTCCTCGACAGGAAAGACTACAAGTGGCCTTGCTCACTGGCCCGAACGTTGAGAAGAAAACCTTCAAACGGAGCTTGCACAAGGTCTTTCTTGACAAAGACCCCCTTGAAAAATGTTTGCACTGAGGGATGCGCAACCAAGTCCTCTTGTGTCATTTGCTGAGGAATCCCTCCAACAAAGATCTTTCGCACCTCACACTCAGTGTAACACTGTCTTACAGTATCTCACTGTGTTGATCTGCGTTGCATAAAAGGGAAGTAAATGGAATTTCAATAAGTGAAGCAAATCTGGGTTCACTTGCTCATAATTGCTCCATCTAGAGGACTAGACCTGAGCCTGCAAAGGGGGCAAAGCTTTGAAGCGTTCTGCATCCTGTGGCATGCACCAAGTCAACAAAGCGAATAAGGAAGTGTGAATGATCCCGACAGCAAAAGTGACCAAACACTATCAAACACTCTAAACAACAAACTTCTGATTAGAACCTGGCCACTCGAATTCGCTCTTCGGGTACATTGTCCCTGTCCTGAAGTGTTGGTGTGGGAGCTGCAGAAGATGGAGTTGGACTGAGCCTCACGAAAGGAGGCTTTTTGCTGGTGCCAAGTTGAAAGGCAAGGAGCAAGTAGATCGCGATCATTGAAACATGGTCAATAAAACATGCCAGGAATGCTGCATCCGGCCTGCTCGGATTCGAGCTTAGGGTGCTCTTCAAAAATCACAAACTATCAGAAAAGGGACTTTGCTGTGGCTAAACCGACTGGGGGACTGACACTGTTCATCCAGGCTTGGAGTGGCACCAGCACATGTGCTGACAGAGCTCAGGGGTCTATTCCTCACGAAGCCAAGCAAGGATTTAAAAGTACAGCTGCAAAGGCACCTCAAGCAATTCGTAGCAACACACTGGGATACTCACTCACACTCCCAAACCAGGCGTCCAGGTGCGGCACCTCCAGGTTAGGAGAGAGAAAGGCAACTCAAGGCCACATTCCATGGAAAGTTTACCACAGGAATTGCACAAAAAAGGCCTTGTTTGCATCCCGATCTCTCATGATGACAGACATATGGATGTCTTGTTGACGCATCTTGTTGAGTACAAACTGCGTATCCCACCACAGCTTCTCTAAACTTGATGATGAATGAGCTTTTGCATTTGCTCGTCCGAGTCTGCTACCTACTCATCTGACAACTCTGACTCAGTTGTGTGTCCATCTGCATTGTAGTCACAACGAGGGCCGACTAGACAGAAAAACAAAAGTCGAAAATCAGGGCATATAGCCGACCAAGCCTTTAAAATGCCCATTTTGTTAAAACACCGCGCAAATGACCCAGCACTTCCCAAAAAAATCACATGGCCAGGCTTTTCAGGCCAATATCATGGAAACCAATGAAGGCCATCCCTTCCAGAGTGCTGCAAATGCAGAAATCACCAAGGAGAACTGGGCAACAGGATTGACGGCCAACAGGCCCAGAAATTGCAGCTGAACCTGGACACAGAAGTAGAAACTAATTACAGTACCGGCAAAGCCATGGCACACGATGTCGTTTCCAAGCTTCTTCGCACAGTGTTTAGCGAACAAATGCTCATGATACCTTTTTTCTTGAATGATGTTTCCATGAAAAATGAAGAAGTACCAGCTGAGTTTAGGCAAAGGTTTCCAAAGTTCAGTAAACACCAAGGAGAACTGGGCAAAAGGACAAACAAAAACAGCCAAAAGGCTACAAATATCCACGAAAGTTGAACACCAGGCGCCTAAAGCGCTGCAAATACAATTAAAGTCGAGATCAAAATAACAAATCTCTCACAACACTGCAAACAAGAGGGAAACCAATAATAGAAAGCCAAAAAATCAAAGTAGAAGTCAAGATCCATGGATGTCCATCTACTTGGCCGTCGTTATGCATACCTAGACTGAAAGTTTGTTCAGCATTGGGGGACGACTTCAGCCTGACTTCACCTCCCTTACCATCACAGATTCAAGGTCCAATCACCACAAATTTCCTCGCAATGTCAATTCCGAACCCTGGATAATTCTGGGACTAAAGCCAGCAGGTGCTGAAAAAGTTCAAGTACAGTAGTAGCCTGCTGGTTTGCACAAGTTTCATCCTGCCAGTGGTTTCGGTTCAAGGCGTGGCTACACAAGTCAGAAGTATTTACCTGATATACGGCAGAAAAGATCGGATGTCAATCACAGACTCGACTGGAAACGGGACCGGCCCTGCCCTGAACTAAAACATCCGGCTCGGTCTTGCGGCTGCTCCGGATGTGTATATATGAAAAAAGTTTGTATATATAAAACTCACGGTCGATTCTTTTCACAACGCCCCGCAGTTAGTCACAAAAAGACATACCGAATCCTAACAGAATGGTCTTTCTCCAGACCTTAACTCTTTAGGTTTGACCTGTCCAAGGTCGAAGGAGCTCAGCTTTCCCAACTCTCGCCTAGCCAGAGAGAAGGGAAAACCCCCCTTGCCCCCCTTGAAGCTTTTCGCCTAGCCGAAAACTTCAAGCTGGTGCCTTTTTTCGAAAAAAGTGGCAAAGAAAGACCCCCTTCCACGTCCCCCTTTTTCTGCGGCGCGCCCGCGAGCTCAAGTGTGGAGGTGAAGCTTGGTTATGAAAAACTCGCACGAAGGGCAACAAGGATTTTTGGGGAAGTCTCATGTCCGCCAGCACTGCCATGCTTTCGTTCAAATATATTCGGGCAGTTTTGGCAGCTTGCCACCTTCCAGCTACCATCAACTTATCGAACGAACCGTGCTTGGTGAACCACCAGGTGGCACCCCCCCTACGTAACGAGTAGGGTCGAAACTCAAAGAGGGTCAGTTGTAGTGCTTGCAGGCATTCCGAAAACAGCCTACGCCAGGCTGATGTTGAAGAGGCGAACAGGGCCTGTGGTTTCACACTCTGCTTCCAGGCCCATAACCACTGGAGGGCTACCGCAACCGTCAAAGTGACCGACTCAGACGCACCTACACGTTTCCCACTCTTAGTCAGTCCAAGGCTAAGGACAGCGGGGGCAGATGCTGTCTTCATGAAAACGGAGAACTCCGTAAGGTCGTCAGTTCACCTGTACGCAGCATCCGACACGCCGAACCCGAAGTGGCCATGAAAAAAGCTCCAGCCGACCATCGCCTCAAGCGCGGCCTCTGTCAGCGGTGGTGCCCTATTCGGGACTTCATTGACATTCCATGTCTTTAAAAGTCTCCAGGTCAGCTGAAGCTGACCCTTAAGCTTCGGATCTGCGTCCTGCAGGCCGGCCACCGTATCGGCTGCCAGGCCGCGGCCTTCCCCCTCGGACCACAGGTGCTCTATGTATTCCGCCAGGAGACTGTCAAACTGCTCCCGCCGGAGAAAGTCATAAAACTTTGTACGAGCGGCTGCATATCTATTGCTATTGCTAGTTTGGTTGAAACAGTGAGACTTCGAAGCGTGCCTAGTTCTTTCCTCTGTGCTTGCCTTTGCTGTTTTGTCTGACCTTCAAGAACCTTCTTGCCTACTTTCCCCATCGGCGGCGCACAGGCCTCCGGCTAGGCCGGTCGGCCGGGTTTTGCGAGGTATGTATGTATCCCCAGAGGGGATGAAGGTCAGCCGCCAACAGCAAAGCATTTAGCCTCATGAGGATCGGTCTCAACTTGCGACTCGAGCTTCGTCCCCGAGTCAGCGCATGTAGGCACACCAAACTGTCTGTGAGATGAAGAAAACGTACTCCCAGCTTCTTGGACCTGCTCACCTTCCATTTTATACTAGTATAGATTGCCCGCATCTCCAGGAGATTTATATGTTCTCCCGCCAGCTTCCATCTCCATCCCGAGATTTCACGCCAATGCCACAGGCGGCCAGGGATGCTTGCACGGAGTCTGAAGTAACGCGGGGCTGGGTCACTCACCGCATGAACCAGGAGGTCTTCGCCTTT